ACATGTGTGATACTGGTGACAGGCTGCAAAACAGGAGAGGCATTTCAGAAGTTACTCCACAAAGCTGCAGGCTTCATTTTGAAAACTGACAGAGCCAGTTGGTAGAAGGGACGTGGACTTGGACTTTCATTCTCATGTTGCTCAGCCAGTTCCTCTTTCTCTCAGTGAAGCACAAGTCCTGAAGTCTGGGTTAAGTCATCTCTAACTGGCAACCGCTCTCAAAGGCATCAGGCCTGAGACTCAGCATATGAACTAGATAAGAGCCCTGTTAGCATACGAACTGGATAAGAAGCCCTTTGGGTCCAACCAAAGGTCCATCTTGACTGACATTCTGTTTCCACTTTGGCTGATTTGCTATAAACGTGATTTTAGGGGTAGAAGCAGACCTGGGGAGGAGCTGAATTCAATTTAGAAACTTTGGATTACAGACAACATGCAGCTGAGTTATCCAGTATTGGATAGGTCTTAGGCAGCTCCCCAAATTCCTATTCTGGAACATCAGGATCCATCTCCTCCCAATCATGCTAAACTGTAAAAAAAAGTGGTGGTTTGGCCAGAAGGCATCCAATTCATTCATGAGACTGCTTAATGTGTTTCTGTCCCAGAATGGGACACTTAACACCAAAGCATCCTCATAACAAAAATTGAGAGATTTACAAAGTATGATTCCCATCTTCCATCATACCACTGTGTATGGAATCTGGGAATCAAGATACCTGGGTTCTCCATCCGACCACTTACCAGTGGACTGCAACTTTCATTACCACTGTATTTTTCACAACCTGGTGCACTCTGATTTGTTGGGGCGATACGATAAAGCGGTTCTCCAGAAGTAGAAAGATATCTTTAAAAATGGGAAATAGTCAAGGAAATTTTCAAACAAAAATATCCCCTTCTCTTCTTCACTATGATGAATGTGAGAAGTTACAACCCTAGATAGGGCATTATGGGATGGTACACACAAGCCTGGCCTCCTCCAATTGGGAACACAAGCTTAATGCCACTGGAAAATGTTGCAGAGAAGGACGGAATTGAAAAGTTACAGATGTCAAATTTTGCCACCCAAAATTTGAAAGCAAACATTTTGAAACTGTAATACAGAAGTGAAGTTGACATTTGGTACCTCAATATTTTGAGTGCTTTCATTGAGGACATTCTTTGACTTTGTCCTTGCACACTAGCAAGCAGGTAGGAAGGCCGAAATGAGACATTAAATGCCAGCAGTCAAACAATGAAATAAAGTCAAGTCTTTCATTTATTTCATGTATGCATTGGCTCTATTTCTAGAACAGGGTTCCTCAACCTTGGCAACTTTAAGATGGGTGGACTTCAACTCCCAGAATGGACTGGCTGGGGAATTCTGGGAGTTGAAGTCCACCCGTCTTAAAGTTGCCAAGGTTGAGGAACCCTGTTCTAGACTAACTTTATCCCATCAAGAGCACATGTGTAGCAATCTGACAAGAACCATCAGGTTAAATATAACTGAATAATAAATATAGATATAAAAAAACTAAGTAAATATTCTCCAAATGTTTAAATCTTCAAAGACTATTTTATGGACATTTGCAGAAATACAAATTCATTGGGGAGAGCCTTCCTTTTAGAGTGAGGAGCAGAACAAAACAGCATGGAATGTGACTATGAAGTCCATTTTCCCTTCCCAAGACCATTTTCTCCCCTGTCCCCCATCCATCTGCATCCTGTGCCAACTGAAGACCTCAGTCCTTACTTTTCCACACAACAACACGCCAATAGGCCTGCGGGAATCACAGGATCATAGCAACTTTACAGATGGATGTAATCTCTCTCAAACAAAGAAGGAGAACCTGCCTTCTCTGTGGGTCATTGGTTCCAGGGTCAAAAGGCTCTTATTGTCAGAAAGTGCTTCCTAACATCTCATCAGAATGTCCCTTCCTGTGACTCAGGTCCATTCTTTCATGTTAAAAAAAGATAATTCCCCACATGTAGCCTGAAAAAGCACATTTCTATACTTCTCTTCATACTGCTACTCAACAACAATTCTATTACTTCTGTTACCGTTATACTGTTTTGCCATTTTAATTCTTTTTTCATTGCAGAGATCTCTCCTAGTTTTTCTGTTTACACTTCTTTTTTAAAAGATCCTGTTGATCAAGTAACTGAGTGTTATAAATCCGGGATGCATAGAGAAAAACCACCACCCGAAAGTAAATAGAGAGAAACAAAAACCACATTCATATTAACCAAACATCATAAGCATTGGTGATAATCTGTTGCAATTAAGTTAATACATAAGGTCTGCCCAAGTTTGATAGAATTGGGGCTTCTGCCTCTGATATTTCCTTGATTTAACTTTATAATTTTTTCTGACATGGTGACTGAAGGCTTTATTAATCCGCATCTCAGTTGTTAAGATTGTGTAGGTTTTCCAGTGATAGGCAATTATTATTTTAGCTGCTAAAATTAAGAAATAATAAGTTCCTTAGTTTTCAACTTGAGGGTCAAGGACAAGCAGGATAGAAAGGGGTGTCATGATCACGTCTTTGTGTACAGATGTCGCACCAGCTGATTCTCTTGGAAAGAAGAAAAAGATCATAGCATCATCAGAAAGGATACAGAGCTGTCATGGCCCAATACGCCAAGCAGATCACTAATAAGATGAAAGTCAGCAGTGGGTAGGCAAGGGTGGACATCATATATCCAATGGCTCTGGAGAAAGAGACAACAGAGAGCAATCAACCTCCCTCAGTTCCCACCCAGAATCTGAAACTGCAGGGACATCAACGCATTGTAGGGGTCCACTTACCGGCTGGCTTCCTGGATCAGGGCGATAGCGATGAAGATCCGTTTGCGGAGGAACAAGACAGAAAGCAGCAAGATGCCTTCCACCACGCAGAGGACAATGACTGGAGGAGAGAGAGGAAAAGGAGACAGGAAGAGCTTTCGGTTAAATCACCCCAAAGAGAGGCTGGGCTGACATCATGAGCTAAGCCATCATGGGATTTATTTAGGCTCATCCTGAGGTGTGAGCTCAAAACTGAAATTTGTAAACCATGGCTTAGTGTGACTGTATCTAGATAGTCACACTAAGCCATGGTTTACAAATTTCAGTTTTGAGTTCACACCTCAGGATGAGCCTAAATGAAACAAATTTAGTATAGATACAGTGGTAGTATCACTGTCAACACTTAACCTAAACCATGATTTAGCTCATGGGTTCATGTGAACCCAGAGTTACAGCTACAGCTTGATGGACCATGCAGTTGCAGCTACAGTTGGTGGACAATGTCAAATCTTGGATGGGGGTCCATTTCCCACCCCCACCCCCAAGTCTATGCATTACTCCTGTCCTCCCAGGCTAAGCTTCTCACTTCTAGCTTTCAGGGACACGCCCATGTCTTCAATGCTTTACAGAACAGCAGCAGAGTTGGGGTCAATCAAATCTCAGGGGGATGGTGGTCCAAAGGGCAGAGGCAGTGAGCAAAAAGGCACATGTCTTGGGTCCCACTAGATGACATTATTTAGTCAGTGGGATCCACGGCATCTGTCTCCTGACAGACCTAATGGGAAACAACTGGGGAGAGGTGGTTCCACAAATAGCTTGTCCCTAGGCCAACAAGGGCTTTCTAGGTGACAGCCAGAAAGCTACACATTGGAAGCCAGCGTAGCTCATGGTGCAGAGAAATAACAGGTGCACCAAGATGTGTCCATAACAGCCCACACTGTCACATTCTGAACCAGCTGCAGCTTCCAGGTATTCTTCACTACAGTTCAGTGTGACTCACAAACTTACTGTGATTATCTATTTATTTATTAATCACATTTATATGGCCACCCATCTCACAAAAAGCGACTCTGGGCAGCGTACAACAATCAGATAAAACCACCAATTTTAATAATTAAAAAACAGTCATTCTAAAGATATAAAAAGTCATTATTAAAAATGAACATATAAAAAATTTAAAACATACAAACCACACAGAGAGAGTAAAATACCAACCACAGTGGAGCCATCTAAGAATGTCTCTGGTTCCCTGGGACCCCCAGGCCTGGTGACATAACCAGGTCTTGAGGGACTTCTGGGCACCATGGCAGATTATGCAGACTATGGCAAAGCATAGATTATGACTCTGGAGAGGCTGTTGCATCATGACAATGGGCGAGAATGGATGCAAATGAGTGTTGAGAAGATCAAAACCATGATTGGCCCATTATTCATTTGTAAGTTTGCTATTATCTTGCATTTCTAAGCCATAGTTAGTACAAACCTGTCTCCAAATAATAAAATGGGTGAAGCTTATGCATTACACACACGCACGCGTGCACACACACACACACTTATATCCATCCATCCTGCCTTTCATTCTGGAGCTCCTCAACGAAAGAAGCGTTGAACTCCAAAACAACCAGAAGATTCATAGCCCAGCCGGCCGAAGATAATCCCAGGTCAGAAACCTGTTGAGGGAATCCCATTCTCTGAATTAGCAGATTTAATTTTAAAAAGGGAGAACATTTTCATGCCTCTTTACACTTGTAGAACAAGGCTGGGCCATCACGTTCAGGTTGTGTATGGATAACCCAAGGGCTGCAGTCCAAAAGTGGAAAAAGTCAGCGGAGGAAGGAAAGGCAAGGGAAAAGGAAGATAAATTTAAAAAAAGGAAAGAGGGCAAGGAGAGCTTAACATTACAGTACATCGTACTATAGCATTGGGCCTCTCGCCTTTGGAAATTACTCGCACATACCAAACTAAACACAGCCACAGTCACTATGTATAGAAGATTGCAAGTGGTAGCTTCCAGCTGAATTCTTTTGAGGACTAGCGCAACACGTTTCGCTTGCCTACTGCTGGCTGCCCAAATCCAAGAGCAAAATGACATCACAGCCAAACTGGTTGTCGGTTTTAGGAAGCAAATGACAAAGTGGTGGGAGGAGCTCACCTCAGCTGTAAAAATGGCTTTCGAAAAGCAGGCAAGCAGCTTTTGTATTCTCTGAGGAGGATCCAGTCTTTATTGTCACAGGGCCTAAAATGAATCTAGTCTGTTAAGGAATTGACTCTAAATGCCTTAAGTAGCAATCCTACCATCGCTGATCCCTTCAGAGCAGTGTTTCTCAACCTTGGCAACTTCGAGATGTGTGGACTTCAACTCCCAGAATTCCTCAGCCAGCCGTGCTGGCTGGGGAATTCTGGAAGTTGAAGTCCACACATCTTGAAGTTGCCAAGGTTGAGAAACACTGCTTCAGAGACTGATTCGTCTGTACTGTATTTGATATTTGGCACTCAATTCCTTCTGGGTTTCTCCCACCTATTTTGGTAAGAAGGGGAGAGGGCTGAGAAATCAATATTAAAAAAGGATGAGGTTTAAGTAAAATATGTATGGAGGGTAGTACATGGAACACACCCTTTTCTTTGCTTTGATCAGATCCTCTTGCCCTTGCCCGCCCCCCCACATTCACAAGCCCCCCAAAAGGTGATGCATCTGTGCCCTTGGCCAACCAAGCCAAAGGAAGCTTAGTCTTCTGCCCTGACTTACAGGCGGCCAACCACGTCTCCTTGACACTGCCGTAAAGACTGAAGTCGGTGGTAAATCCGATGGTCTGGATAGTGGCTTCCTTTTTGTTGAGGACATCATATTCCATGTAACAGTGGTAGATTCCTGGAAGGGAAAAAAGAAAGACTGATGAAATAAACCTAAACAAGAACATTCTTCCAGTCCCATTCCCCCCTCCCCATCTTGTTTCAGAACACTACTTTCCCCATTACAACCTCCCTTCTTGCAGCAACTAACCAAGATATGACATCATGGCACCAAGGCACCACATCTTGGTGATGGTT